TCGAGAGATTAATTGTGCAACTATGCGGCATGTCAGCTGTAGATGTCGACCTCAGTGACCCGACAAATGCAAAGCTGTTGGCCGCGAAAAAGGACGCACTAGCAGAGTTAAATTTAAAATCTTTTAGTCGCATATGAGTAGGGAACATTGTCTTAAAACTAATACCTTCCAGCTTTTCTCGCTCCCGAGTTAGCAGTTTTTCCATCAAAATTTTCACGTGTCCGTACGTGAGTACCGGACAGTTCTAAGGAGCTGAATTTGAAATCTTTTAGTCGTACATGAATGGGGAACATTCCCCGAAAGTTTCAGTTTTCTAGCTTTTCTCGTTTTCAAGTTATCAATTTTCCCGCCAAAACTTTCACATGTCCTGTACGCGGTCCCCGGGCTCTCCTAACAGCTGATTTTGGTTGAGTATAAGTAGGGAACATTCCCCTAAAGTTTCAACTTCCTGGCTTTTCTCGTACCCGAATTAGTGGTTTTCCCGCCGAAATTTCCACCTGATCGTGCGTGAGTCCCGGACAGTCCTACGCAGCTGAATTTGAAATTTTTTAGTCATGCCTGGACAGGGGACATTACCCTAAAATTTCAGCTTTCTAGCTTTTCTCCCTCGCGGGTTAGCACTTTTCCCGCCAAGATTTTCACGTGCCTGTATGTGAACCCCGGGCTGTTATAAGGAGCTGAGTTTGAAAACTTTTGGTCCCGCATAAGTAGGGAACATTTCCCCAAAATTTCAATTTTCTTACTTTTCTCATTCCCGAGTTAGTGATTTTCCTGCCAGAATTTCCACGTGCTCGTACGTGCCCGGACAGTCCTAGGCAACTGAATTTTTTTTTTGTCATACATGGGTAGGAACATTCACCTAAGGTTTCCGAGTTAGCAATTTTTCCGCCAAAACTTTCATGTGGTCATACGCGGGACTCAGACGTGGCTGAGGGTTGAAACCGCAGTTCTGGGGTAGCACTTGGGTGGGGAACACACTGGCAAAATTTCAACTTCAAAACCTGCGTGGTTAGCTAGTTGAAATACCTGGACAGACGAACACACACAAACATACACATACACACTCATAGGGTCGTTGCAATATGCGTTTTTGCTGTCTGTTGCAACGCTCTAGCGCTGCACGGCAAAAACGCATAAAAATTCCTGTGCAAAATGAATGAAGGTTACCTTCAAAGTTAATTTTCCCATCTTTATTTACATCCACTTCGTTGTAGATCGCTTTGATATCGCTGTCGCTGAGTGTATGGCCCATTCGTAGAAAAGCTGTACGCAGTTCGGAGCGTGTGATATATCCGTCACCGTCAACGTCCAGCTCTTCGAATACCGCTTTCAAGGATAACGACAGTGGATTTGCATGAGCTATCGTCAGAAATTCTGCAATTCGTGTAATATGTCATCCACGATTCGAGTTGTAACATGGGCGTGCGTCTGCCATGCGCGTACTGCCAGTTTTTTCGAAAACCCATGTATCTGATAAAGGAACTGCAGTTGCGGTACAAAGGCTGGATTTTTGACCACTAAAAGATTTCGGATATTTTGAAGGTTGTGAGGAATTTTTTTTAATAAAGACTTCGTTGCATTTAAAGCTTTTTTAAAAGGAATGTATTTCATATTTGGTTCGTGCTGATCAGGATGCCTTTGGATGTACAAAGTTTTCATTGATTGTGATATACTGCATTAATTTTAACTTTTAGATTAATTCGAGGTTTCAGTGTCTAGCGCAATTCCTAAAAAACCAAAAGAAATGCATCAACGGCCGAGCATGTCTGGAAAAAATACAACATGTACAAAAAGCGGCGCGCACCAGGGTAGCCGGTGTGATTATGCATTTTGTGCGGTTTCGACCAGCCGACGTTTGCCTTCTAAGGATCTTCATTGGTTTATCCTTTGGTCCGTGAAAAAGTAGTCAATATGCTGTTTGGTTCCTAAGCTTCGAAATTTCTCAATAAAAATTCCATTTACCAGTACGTGAAATGCAAATGTACATAAAAGCTAGATTTAAAATCGTGAATGGTTAACATTGTCCCAAAATTTTAAACTCTCCGGATTCCGAGTAATTTTCGCGCCAAAACTTTCATATGGCTATACGAGAGATCTCGTCATACTTAGGGGCCAAGTTTGAGTTTGCTAGGCCCCTGCATAAGCAGAAAACATCCTCCTGAAGTTTTCATCCTCTAGCTCTACTCGCTTCTGAGATAATTTTTCCTGCCAAAACTTTCACGGGGCCGTATGTGAAAACTGACTTCGAATTTGCGGGGTTGTATAGGGGCACGGGACAATGCCCTAAAATTCCCCCCCCCCCCGCTTTCGTGGTTCTCAAGATAATAATTTACCCCGCTAAAACTCTCATGGGGCTGTACCCGGGAGTAAATAAAGGCTGAATTTAAGCTTTCAGGGTCGTACTTGAGCAGCGAACATTCTACTAAACTTCAATTTCCTAGCTTCGCTGGTAGAGTAGGTGGGTGGGAGAAGAGGCAGATACACAATGGTATGAGTGTGTGTATCTGTCTGTCAGTCCGGGTATTTTAACTCGGCAATTAGGCAATCTCCGGCGCCAAAATTTTACCAACGGGCTACTTGGCCAAGTGCCACTCCAGGATCGCGGTACCATCCCTTACGCATGTCTGGGCCTCGCATACAGCCACGCGAGGGTTTCGGCGGGAAAACAGCTAACTCTGGAACAGAAAAGCTAGAAAGCTGAAATTTTATGGGAGTAAATCAGGAAAGCTAGAAGACTGAAATTTTCAGGGGATGTTCCCAGCCTCCGCACAACTTAAAGTTGTCAAATTCAGCCCCCAATTATGTGTGGACCTCACGTACAGGCCCATGGGATTTTTTGGCGGGAAGACATGGTAACTCGGGAATCAAAAGCTGAAATTTTAATGAAATGCTCCCTGTCCAAACACGGCTTAGTTGTCATAATTTTTCGTGCGATTTCACTACAGCACAAAATACTGCAAAAACGCATAATCGCATGTGCCTGTCTGGTGCGTATCGCCAATGATTATGCGTCCTTGCATATATGCAAATGCGAAAACGCATATTGCGATGACCCAGGTGTGCATGTGTGTGTGTCTGTCTGTCTGTCTGTCTACTTGTCTGTCCGGGTATTTCAACTCGACACCCAAGCAAGCTCCGGCGCCTAAATTTTGCGGGTAGGTTCCCCGGCCAAGTGCCACCCCAGGACCGCGGAACCAATCCCCACGCGTGCCTAAGATCCCGCGTACGAGCGCTTCAAAGTTTTGGCGAGAAAAGCTAGAAGCTGAAATCTTGGGATTATATTCCCCATCCACATAGAACTCAAAGATTTTAAATTCAGCTCCCAGG